TTTTTTTTTTTTTAGCAGTAAGAGGAAAACACAGAAAGAAGTTGTTTGGTGAAACGTGGGGCGGTGGGGTAAATTTTTGGATGAGATATTATTGCTGAAAAAACGGTAAATCTCCCCTTAATTATCTCAATTAGCTTTTCTCATCATTTAGGTATAATAGCAATATTTTAAGTTGATTTCAGCATAATTAAAAATATTGTTATATTAGTTGTATAATTATAATATATTTATAGGGTTGAAGTACAAAGTGCAAAATCTTCCAAAATTATCTACCTTACAATTTACATACTTTTTTTTCTCAAAACGGTAAAATTCATTAATAGAAGAAGTACTTTTTTTCTAAGTCTCTTGTCGAGATAGCTTCAACTTTCCGCCACTTTCATATTTATATATATTTGTTACACCTCGTCAGGACCTCATCATAAGTCATCGTCGGCTTATTAGCTAAATTAGAAATTGATAGCCAAATTGCAAGTCCTAGCTATTAATTAGCTAATTGATATTTAATGTCAATAGCGCCAATAGGATGGAGGATTTTACTTTTTACATCTTTACATACATGCATCATGCTCGTTACTTGTTCTCGGTACGTACTCAACCCTTTTTATACAAACGCACATACTCAACGCTTTCTATACATCATGCGGACTAGTGTAGGATCAAACTATCATTATGCACCGAGAAAAAAATATTACGATTATATAATAAATCAAATTATATTTAAAATTATTTTTTATATTGATAAAAGTACATATTTAAATAAAATTGTGAATTATAAATTATTTATCAATTAGTTTAAATATTTGAAAATTTGAAATTGTTCAAATACATCAATAATATTTTTATATAAATTTATTACAAAATGTACTATATATATATTAAAATATTGATAGATTAAATTTTGTTACAATCAATAAACCATGGAATAAATAACTTGATCGGTTCGATGATGGTCTGGTTTTGAGAACCTTGAATTAATCGTGCATTAATACAAGTTGTAATACAATATCATTTTGGTCTCATATACACTAATAAAATGATACATAAATATGCATAAATCATTGAATATATTGTCATAAAGGCATTCTTAATATGATTATTTGGAGCTTGTTACATTACATTTATCGTATTAAAGTATTTTTAATATTAAAATTTAAATTAAGTTTCAATAATCATTATGGTCTAGCCAAACTTATTCATAACATGGTCATATGGGATTAGCCCCATTTGTATCGTGTTTTTTTCTATTTTGGTTATCACTTAAAAGTAATTCAGTCAATTTGAGCAGTAACCTAATTCATTTACCTGATTGATTCAACGAAATTTTCTTATTTCGTTTAAGTATATTTAATTTTATATAAAAAAAATTGTATGATTCATGTAGTAAATGTTTATAGCAAATTATAATATAGGGGCCGACTACAGTCGCGTAAAGGAATGATTCCATTATTCCAATATAAGTATGAACCTTTAGATGTAGTCGGTAAATGTTGACGTGGTAATTTTTTTATTGAAGTTTTTTTCAGAGGAATGGTTTTGTTACGGAATTTTAGCATTTTCCTATATTTTATTAAGATTTTAAATTATATATCTAAAGATAAATATATATTTTTTTTTACTTTATGTATATTTATAAAAAAAAACACATAATATTTAAAAAATATGATTAATTAATTAAATATGAATTGACGCGATGATGCGATACTAGCATGAGTTACTAAATATAAGATATATATTGCATGTTTTTATAGTATGCTATTCATAAATTATTAAATATCATAAACGGACAATGTTATAACAAAGAAAGTGCTTTACAAATAAATTAAATTATATGCTCATTTATATATATTTCTTAAGACAAATTGTTGTAATTACTGTTATACTAGAAAGTTTTTCCCACAATTTTCAGCTTCTTCATTTTTTTTTATATTTTTTTTATTTTTTATTTTTTGTACATTAGGGCAAACTGCAATAAAGGTGTTCACATTAGCTCACATTGTGAGTTACATATAGTTTAGAAATAGTAATGTTATATAAAGTATAGAAAATAATGATATTATGAGATGTTAAGGGTGTGTTTGTTTATAAATTATTTCAGTTCATATTCTTTATTTAACTCAATATTGTAATTCAATCTCACTCTTTTCTATATTAACAATATAATTAAAATAATAGCAATCACTCATTTCTACAGATCACATTAATTTTAATTCATTATTCAATTATTCCTATAATTTTAATTAATCACCAGTTAACATCATCTATCTCCTACTTTTATATCAAATAAACTTTGTATCCGCTTTTATACGTCATCGCACGGCCACCAATAGAACCGACTCTGATACCATGAAAGAAACTAGGAAAAAATGGGTGCGGTCCCACACACCAATAGAACCGGCTCTGATACCATGAAAGAAACTAGGAAAAGACGGGTGCGGTCCCACACAATAGAGCCGACTCTGATACCATGAAAGAAATTGGGGAAAAACGGGTGTGGTTTCACTAACATGAAGTGCACCATAAGCGAGGAAAACCTATATGAAGGACAGGTGGGGTTCCATCAATACAATTGGTGGAAGGAGAAGTAGCCCAGTAGACTTATATGGTGGTTCTATTTTGCATGTATAAATGATGTGTGACAACTCACAAGTGATATTGTAACATGGTAAAGGGTGTCGGCCATGGTTCAAATGAGATAGATATGTTCACAAATTTTGGGTGATAACTGAAGTGGGAATTGGAGTTGTCACATTTTATTTGATTTGTAATTTATGTTATATTTTTTATTTTTATTCTTCAAAAACAATATATCGTCAACTTTGGTTTTCCATTAATTTCTGCAGGCAAACAACTATATTTATTTATGTAATTATTATGTTGAGTTAAAAGCATTCCCTATATAATGGCCAAATAAGGAATGATGATGATACATACATAAAATATTTTTCGAAAGGTACAATATTATCTGTAAGGTACAACTCAGCTGTGTACAAATATATAGAAGATGTAATCAGCATGCCTGCACTTTTTGGTGGTGAAAACAGTGAGGCACCAAAGAGTGAATGCCATGAGACAATCTGTGGTGGTGATGACGATGATGGTATTTTCCGGCAAGAGTTGGTTGATCGGCCTTTTTGACAAAGGGATGGTCGAGAAGCATATCCGGTTTCCACCTGGCCGTCGAATCTTTCACCAGACACTTTGCGAGGAAGTCTTTAGCCTCTTTGGATATTCTGTTGTTTGTTGGAATCTGGGGAATCTGGTCACTGCACCCGATCTTGAAGAGAACATCCTTCGGCTGGGCCTTGCTGTCGAAAGCCCACGGTGATTTTCCAGTCAGCATGTGTAGAACCGAGCAG